ACCCTGCCATGCTCAGTCACAGCTTTTTCGCTCACTCCTGGATGGATTCAGCCTTGTCCTTTCACCCCAGCACCTCCCTCTCTTGGACATCCTCAGAGAGCCTCCAGGACATGCCGCCCCATCCCTTGCCACAAGCCAGCCCTATGGATGGGGGATGATGGAGAGTCCCTGGGGAGTACGAGCTGCTCCAGCCCCAGAGAAAGGGGGCTGGGAAGGGTCACCTGCATGTCCCCATGTCACCAGGGCAGCATCTCATCCCTGGCTCCGTAGCTGCCTCCACCTCTGTGCTGCGGCTGCCTTCCCCCCACAGCCAGCGCAGCAGAAATAAACCCAGCGAAAAACTCCCAGCCTCTGCAAAGCGGCACCTCCCCTCGCTTCAGCGGCGTTCCCAGCACAGAGCCCTCGACGTGGATGAGTATGCGTGTGTGTGCCTATAGACACACATACGTGTATGTACCCGTGGAGGCCCTAAGCAGTTGTGCTGGTTTGCATAAGTACCCTATTGTCTGGGCAGCTCCTTCGGCTGGTTTAGTGATAATATTGACACACATAAAGCTACTTTCTACTTTCTGATAGCAACTGTAAATCCATTTCATCACTGACTTCATTTACAAGCTGTAAGGGTAAAATAAATGTTTATGGAAATGACTTTAACCAGTAAGTAATTTCCTGGCTTTTGAATGCTTCAGGTTTTTAATGGTATTGCAATTATGCAGTGCGTGTAAGTTGTATCAATTACATCAAATAAGTCTAAATTAACCAAGGATATGCGTGAATTCCCCAGTTTAGAAAAACAACCTAATGAATAAGCATGGGGCACAATCCGAGACACGGAAGGGGGTTTGTGCTGACAGCCATATTCAAATAGTCACCTGTGAGCGTTAAAAAAACCCCACCCCATTTGAGCTGTGGGGCTGACTTTCGGCAAGGATGACACAGCTTTCCAGCAGCCCTGGCACACCAGAGACAGGATCCCCAGGGATCCAGAAATGGAACTTATTTAGCATTGGATGCTTGCTGGTAACCCAGCTCTGTTTTCCTTGGCTGTGATGCTGCTTAGCTTGAGAGAGAGCTGTAAATCCCAGGAAATGCCCATTTGCCAGGGGATGGGCTGAGGGCTGCAGGTACCCTGCCCGTATCCACCTCTCCGTAGGGATTCACCTGCTCTGACTGGAATAATCTCAGCCTCGTCCCTCAGGATGCTCCAGTCCTCCTTGTCTTGGATGTCACGCCTCGGTGACCTGAGCAGGCGCCGGTTGACGACATCACCAAAGGTATTTTTAGAAATGCCGCTTTGCAGACAGGCAGGGAAAAGGCAGCGAGTGGCAGGGCTCGCCACCAGCAGCACCCTCCTGCCAGCACCCAGCAGGTAGCGAGGGGGTCGATACATTGACCACCATCAGCACTCAAATGCAGCTGCCCCCTGCGGATGGTACTGGCCTGCCATGAGGCACAGTGACCCCGGGACGAGTTTAGCTCTTTCTGTAGATGAAAAGCATCGCTGTTGTGATGCTGTTAAGTCAGGCAGGTTAATTTGCCTTTTACTTGGATGAAGGGAAGCTCCAGCAATCGAAACAGCAGGGCCTTTTGCATTAGGCATTTGTTCTGCCTCAAGCAAATATTTAACCTACATAGACAGCTAAAAAATCCCCCAAATCCCAGCAAAATTTTAATTTCCCCTCCCTTCAAGCAATCCAATAACCTAGTCCAGGAACACAGGCAAGAGCATACCTGAAGCCTCTCGTGTATTGGGATGCTCCCTGTAGAAAATTCCCACCAGAAGCACCAGCCGTCGTGAGAACGTGTCCCCAGAGCACAATTAATTATAGCCCAGCTCATTATTTTGCTCCTCCTCGAGGTTGGTGAGGGGATTTCTCAGCGTTTCTGAGGCATGGCTTGCCAAGCCAACATGAAACGCTTACTGAAGCAGGAACAAACCCCCTGCAATCCTACATTGCCGTTTCACGCAAAGATAGGAGTTTTAATTAAGTCTTAGCATGCTCCTGAGAAATTTAGTACTCATTTTAAAGTTCACCAACTGAATTAATTCAACCTGGAGGCTCTGATCCTTCAGATAGGGCTGCGTTGAGCTGGGTGGAGACCAGGAGCTGGGGAGAGGTGTTGCAAGGATCGGTGCCTAAATCCGATGCATTGGGATGTTGCTGGCCTTGGCAGCAGCTTTGGATAGCAGCAAGGGGCTCCACAGCCCCCCTGGCCAAGCACCCAAACCGGTTAGGCCAGGTTTGGGGTGCTGGGGTGGGAGGCAGCAGCCCAGGGCAGCATGGAGCCGGTCCAGAGTCAAGGAGCTGGCTGGTCCGGATGGGAGCTGCTTTATATCAAGCAAATGACAAAAGCAATGTCTTTTTCAACCTGCTGCATTCAGGTGGAGAAAAACTCTACAACTCACATTGCAGCCACAGGAATTGCCTGTACATAAGCGTGATGCAAGATGCAGCAGCCATCGGTGGGGCAGCTCCTACCCCCCTCTGAAGTTTCCTACCTTGGACTGCCTTGCAGAGCCATCTAACCAAAACCTCAGCCTCTGTAGCTCCCTTTCACCTACCTTTTCTCGCTGTCATATTTTTCAGCTGGCTTCAGGTATGACTTGGGCTTGGATTTCATGCCCATGCCTCCTCTGAGCGAAGTGTGGCCAGGCTCCTCCTGGGCCATGCCGGCTGCCGGGGAGCTGGGAGCCGCTCTGCGGGAGGACCGCGGCTCACCTGCTAAGTCATTAATGTTTCATGGCATTAACCAATACGGGCTTCTGCTTATCAGCACTTCTTAGAAACAAGGCTAAGAATAAGCACGAGTTGGCCCAGCTGATGCTGGGATATCCATGCTGGTTTGAACAAACCCAGCTTGATACCGGGTAAATTCCATCCAGGACGTTTTATCCAGCAAATAAAAATTAAGGCTGTACTGGAAAGATCACTGGATCCCAAGCAAGAGGTCCTGGAGCTCCTGGTCTAGCAGAAGCTCACCAGTGGTCCCCTTGCTTATGGGTCACCGTTGGGACCCTCTGCTCAGTACCTTGGGTGCTTTCTGCAATTATTTTTATTTAAAAAAAAAAAAGGAAGATAAAAGCTGCAGATGGGTAATTGAGGTTTTTTTTGTTTGGTTTTTTTTTTTTAGAAAACTGGGATTTTTTTTTGCTACTTCTGCCACTCATTTTCTCCTTGAAGCTAAGCCTTCACAGTGCCACCAAGCCCTTTGCCCTGGCTGGGTGACTTTGGTAACAGGGTGTGCAGGGACACAGCTAGGCTTTCCTCTGCATAGGCGATAGTGATGGGAGACATCTCTTTCAAAAAATACATTCAGTTCTCAGCAAAACCATTTATTTTTAGTGCCCTCCAAAGTGTGCTTGACTTTGGAGAAGAAATGAAGCAAAAGCAGTAATTGTGAATAATTTAGGGAATAGAGTTTTGGGGCTGATGTAAGTGGCTATGCCGTGAGGGTAGACACTGGAGGAATGCAGGGCTCACTAATAATACCCAGCCAGTTTAGGCATGGCCACAGGTAAACCAGTAGGAGCCTCTTCAGGGAAGAGGGTAATACCCTTGTGGTCATAAAGTAAATGCACCCCGTAAAGGAAAATATCGTGACAGAGGGTAATCCACGAGACAGCCTCAGTTGCAATGCGAAAGCTGCACCCAACAGAGAGATGAATATGCAAACAAGGCAGGGTATTCCCTAATTAAATACCCTAATTAAATAGCCTTCCTGCTAACTGGCTTTGGCTGCTCGATATCGAGCTGTCTGTAAACCTCCTGTGAGCCCATCCCAGCAGGGTTGCAGCCACGGAGGTGCTGTTGCCACCAGCACCTCGGTGACTCAGTGTCACCATGGATTTTACTGTGCCCTGGGGATGCTCAGCAGGCACAGCCCAGCTGCTCTGCCGGTCACCCCATGTCTCAGCACACACGGGATGCTGTACCACCACCGCTCCACAGCTTTGACACCAAATCTCCTCCAGCAGGACGGAAACATTATCCTGCCATGCATTATTGACACCCGTTATATATAATGGATGTCCCCATGTCATGCAGTGCCTGTGCCAGCTCCTGGGTGGCACCAGCAGAGCTCCTTGGCTGGCTCAGCCGTGCCCATGTGCTCCTTTGCATCCAAGCCCCCAATTTCCCTGGTGCCACGGGTATGCTCCCACTGCCTCCATGCACTGCCAAGCGATGTCTTCCCTGCTGTTAACTTCCCTGAGCTGGAGCGTGCCAGCCTGCCTCGTATTATTGCAGCTTCCCATACAACAAGGAAAAAGGCTGAAGCCTTTCTAGTTTAACTTACCGAAACATATTTAATGGTGATTTAATTATTGTGGACCCAACTGGGATCATATTATCATTTTTTTTCTTCTAAGGCGTAATTGAGATGATGAAGAAAACTGCACTCAGTTAATAGGAAGAGTTACTAAAGAGATCCATGAATCTACCTGCCAAAATTTTACAGGGAAAACAAATCATTCCTCTTAAAACTTAACACACAAATAGATGCACAGCTACCACAACTCATCCTGCTTCAAAATAAAAGCAAAACTTCTTGTTCCTGTGTTGGTGCTTCAAAAACTTTGCTCTGTCGCAGTAGACTCCAGAACTGAAAATTGCAAATGAAGTGCCAAGATCTCTCCTTAATCAGGTTTTACACCCAGCGAAGGTCTTCTGCTCCTTGGCTGAGGTGATAGAATTTGGGGAGTCAAGCAAAGGAAATGTTAAATTCCAGTCTCTCGTTAAGGTTTATTGAAAATGGAGCCGCACAGCGACGTGCAAGGCTATTTTAGCAAAGAAAACTTTTATGTCTACGCCCAATGAATATTAAAGAGCTGCACGCTTCAGCTCTGCCGCCTGCGCCCGGCGCTGCGTGAGCAGATTTAATTTGTCTTTGTGAAGAGGAGTGGACCCACACCCATATTTTTATGCTTATGCCTTAGAGATGAGCAGGATCTGAAGGATGAACCCGAGTCCTCTCTGCCAAGAGATCCCTTGAGCAATCACTCACAACTGGAAAAACAAGGAGACATTAAGGCAAATCTGGCAGCGGAGGCAGGAAGGTTTATGCAGACTGACACAGGATAACTGCCAGCTTGCTGCTTTTTTTCATGCAAACCTTCCTGGGCTTTCAGGTCTATCTGGAGATCCTAGAGAGGTGTTTGGGTGAAAAATTAAGGATGGGATGGAGAAAGAAATGGTGTATAAGGTGGGATCAAGGCATGGCAGGGGCACTCAGCATCCTAGGCGAGGTGGGACCAGGGCTGTCTGGGGTTCACACACTCGTCTATTCAGCTGTCTTCATCCCATCAGAAAAAAAATGCTGCTTAATTAACCCCTTGGGAAACAGCAGAACAAAAACAGAGCTCGTGCACAAACATTGGTGCATGTTTTGCGAAAATGACCCCAATCCAGAAGCATTTTGGTGGTTTTTGCCCCCAGGCTTTGCTTTTGACGCAACCTCTGCCCCTCTCACCCCCAGCCCTACCCCATCGCTCTCACCTGCACACCCAGCCACGCCAGCCCTTGTCCAGCACACAGTTTTCGGGAGCATCCTCCACCACGCGCTGGTCTCTGCACAGTGCCCATGGGTGACCCCCCGAGGCCGTGCTTGCACTCATTGCCGTGGGCAGGGATGCTCTCTGCAGTCTGCATCCCGCTTCTCCTGCTGCTCCCCTTGCTCCAGCCCTGCGTTGACAGTCCCACCAGCACACACAGTGCATGCATGGCTCCGTGAATCCTGGGAAGGGGTCTGAGCTCTGGATACAGCCCGTGCAGACCCCCACCACTGGCGTGGCCACCGCCGTCAGCAGTACTCTGGAGTGGGATGCTTCACCGTGCTCTTCCGCACATGGCACACCGGCAGCGAGAAATCATTGCCTTTTCGTCCGGGGCTTTGTCAACTCTGTCCCAATCTCAAGGGTCCCTGGGTGAAGACCCCCAGCACTTCTCCTCATCCCTCTTTAAGGACCAGTAAATGCTTTTGTAAAGATGGTCCGTGATGGTGCCCAGTGGCTGATGCAGAGCGGGGTGGCAGGGATGCTCTGCTTGCTGCCAGGGGGAATGAAGGCAGAGGATGGCTTCCTGCACCCAGCGTCACCTTCACCGCCAGATTTCTTAGCCTGTGCAAACCTCTGGCGGCTCTGCCCCTTCCTTGACCAGAGATGGAGAAAGCAACGTCCCCTCCGCTTCCATCTGCCAGTGCATTAAGAAAGTGAGAGCCGATTAAAGTCCATCCCCTCCTGAGCACCATTGGTCCCGGGCAAATTGCTGACACAACCTATTTAGTGATATCGGCACCGAAGTGGACTTTCCTCCTGCCCCAGACTTCCAGATTCAGATGGGTTTGGGGTGACTTGGGTTTGCTGTTCTGAGCATTGTCTATAGTCAAAAGTGTTTTAATAGCACAGAATGAGTGTTGTGGTTGGATTTTTTTTTTCCCATCACCTGTTAAGAGGTTGGGTCTGGCAGTGCCTTTCCTTGCAGATCTGACACTCCACAAAAGGATGCTGGAGTGGGATGGAAAGGAGCTCAGAGGAAAGGGCTTCTGCATGCCCACACCACTGCATTAACCTGCATCAGGCTGAAGGACCCCATGGCGCCAAAAAATCTCCTGTTTCTTGAGGCAGGAGAGCTGGAAAGCCCCGTTTCCCTCCCATTAATTGCCACCTGTGAGCACTTTCTAGAAGGCAGCCAAAAACAGTAAAAGCAGGGAGATTTCAAAAATAAACAGCGATCAAACACAGAGACTTGGGTTCTTGCTCCAGAGGGTGTCTGCCAAGGCACACAGATCGTATCAGGCTAATTTACAAAAGGAAAACCGCCCTAATTAGTGCTCAGGAAAGCACTTTAATGAGAAGTGCAAAAAGAGAGAGTGCCATGAGGTCAAGTCATTCCTAAATGCCAGAAAAACAGGAAGCGGGGCACAGCTGATTGCCCCCTGCCCACAGCAGCATTTTCTCACTTTTTAAAGAATATTTCAGTCAGTTATCAGTGAGGAATTTATGAAACCCAGAGCCTCATGCCCAGTGACAGGGCAGTGACGCTGTACACAACACACTGAGCATCGTAAGGCCAGATGTGGCCGGCTCACCCTCGCAGGCATCTCTCCTCCTTTTTGGGCCATAACGTAGGTTTTATGGCCAGAGATTCACCCTGTGAAGGGCAGACTAGAAGCTCTGCCAATGCTATGAGTCCTGTCTCGCTGGCAGCAGTGACGGCAGTCTAGTAACCATGGTAGCGGAGAGGTTTTCACGTGATATTGGTATTTCTATAGCACAAAAGAGCCTCTTATCTAGAATGAGTAACTAGGCTGGTCAGGCTTCATTCCTCCGGTTATTGCTAAGACAGAGCGGCACTGCACGCCCCTTTGGTGCTCACCCTGGGACGAATTCGGACCATTCATGGGAAGACCAATGGGCTGGGACATATGGGAGGTACTGGGATGCAAAGGGATGCTCAGATGGGCTTTGCAAAGCAAGTATCTGAAAAACACCCCAGGATATCACAGCCCAGAGCTGGTAGAGATGTCCCTCAGCCACCCCATAGCTTCCCCACAGCCTGATTTATCTCAATTCTCCATTTGTTTACATTTGTCCCCAAATTCCTTCCAATTTATACAAGAAAATGGTTTTTAGACTTCAACTGTTTGATTTCCAGCTTTTCTCATGCATCAAGTGACTTCTAAAAGCAGAAAAAAAATGAAATAATATAGGTTTTACTTCTTCAGATGACTCAAACCCAACTCGCTGGATATTGCTCAGAGCTCCACAAGACATTCACCAAAATTGGAAAGTTTCATCCCAAAATAAGAATGGGTAAATGAGGAAAGAATGAGAAACTGTCATCCTGCCCAAGCTAAGCCTAAATTGTCATTAACAAATGCTGGCGTGGACACCCATTGGCTTGTGTACCTCTGGGTGACCCCTTCCCAAATGGTGGTCTGGGTTTTTTGGGGGGTGTTAACTCTAGTGGGACCATTACCACAATTAAAAGGAGCTGAGTGCTCAGGGCAGAGAAAACCAGGCTCATATTAGCTCCATTTTAGCGGAAGGTAAAAGGGATTCAAAGGGATTTAACCGCAACCATGACTCAAAGCAGATCTACACAGCTGAAAAAATAGATACAGGCAGAAGGAGTGGTTTACAGACTGTTCCCTGAATGAGGAGCATGTCCTGCTGGCTGCGGTCTCCGGGTTTCAAGGTTAAAGTGCTACATTTTCTTTCAAGCTTTCTAATTAAACATTTTCCATTTATCCTGCAATTTCTTTCTAGACCTGAGTCTAATCCCCAAACCTGCTTACTTGTTTTTACTTTCATTATAACCTTATCAGTGATTAACCTGCAATTGCACTTAATCTTTTTAAAAGATTGCCCCGACTATAAATACGGAGAAAATACCTGCCCCATTTCAACCCAGAGGAAAACAACTTCCTCCACAGTCAGATATCTGTGGTGGGTTTTATTATTCCTTTTGTAATTTGATTTTTTTTAATTGGAGATGTTTTTCTTCTCTAACTTCATACAGAACATTTAATCAGTATCTCTTTTCTGAAAGATGAAACAGAACAAGCCACAAGGAATATGAATAGTATAAAAAGTATATGTATATTTAAAAGTTATATAATTTATATATATTTTTTGAAGAATCTCCCTATATTAAAAAGTATATATGTATATAAAACCAGTATATATAAAGCCTTCTGTAAAGATGCTTCTTGCGATAGTGAGGCAAAACCTAGCACATTCATACAGATCCAACAACAGCAAGCTCTGTTTCTTCCTGCAGCGATTATCTGTTCCACTTGTTTCACTCAAAAGCAGCAACAGCTGAAATATCATTACAAGAAAACCTGGTTTCTATGGCTATGAACCACCAAGAAATCACTTAATCAGTAGTGTAAGTCAGGAGGAAAACTGCAATGCAGAATTTCCAGGGTGCTGGACTGGCGACAAGCAACAGCCCAGCAATATCCCCTGAACACTGCATTAATATTATTAAAGGATCTCATATCGCATCAGTCCAACACTTAAGGACATCAAAGCGGAATGAGCAAAAATGAATAAGAAATGCAGTCAAGGTTCATGGAGCGTTACCAGATCCATCAGGAACGTTCCAAGGGCAGTGGAAAGCACAGACCTGAGATAAGGGCATGCTGCAAGCTATTCAACAGGAGCCAGTGCAGAGGGAGCCCATTGCAAATACAGCAAAACTGGTAAATGAATGGAATTACAAAATTCAGCAGAAAGCCAATTTATAGCAGTCCCCAAAACCAGAGGCATTAAGGAGCTGCCCATCTCCTTGCCCTGTCCATCATTTCTAAATAGTCCTGCACAGCAGAGAGATCTGAACCCAACTCTCCAACCCAGCCTGGAAGCCCAACCCTACCTTGACCTTAATTATTGCCTGGAAAATAATCTCTCTAAAGAACTAAAGCTGTAAACAGTTCACAGAGGAAGATAACTTCAAATCTCCTCGTGGTTCCAGAATTACCAGTTATGTATCCATCACTACTGCTTGTTGAAAACGTCACACAAGTATTTGTCATTTAAGAAAGCTTTCCCCTCCCCCCCCATTCCGGTAATTAAAACACCATAACAATTTGACTACCAGTATTACGTGATCTCCAAGCCCCCAAAACATTTATTTGAAAAATCTGTGAACCCCATGTGGGGAATTTCCTGGCTCTGTCAGTGCCTCCATGAGGAAAAATATGGAAAACAACTGGAATTTTGAAACAAATACACAGCAAATTAACAGTAATCTGTGTGGTGTTTATTGTAGTTATAGTGAATTAGGAAAGCCATTACAGCCCACTATTCATGTAAACGCTTTTTTCTAAACCACATCAAATCAGAAAAGCAAATCAGAACCTCGGGTTGACTTTTGCACGTTTCCTGGTCTGGTTATATAAATATTTATACAGAGAAAAACAATACTTTGCACTCCTCACCGAAACCTAGTGGCAACCCAGCAGGAAGTCACTTGCAAACTACTGAGGACAAGAAATACTTTGGGAGGTTTGGGTGAGTCCAGGTTTTCCCCTGCAACCTTAAGGGCAGTGGTGGCTGCAGACCCTCCTGTGGGTCTTTGTTTAAAAGAGAGCATGCCACTGTTAATTAACATTATCATTTATTCTGTCTTTTTCTGCCACAGAAACCCATCTGTTTTGCAAGAGATGGGAAAAAAATTCAAGAAAATAGGAAAATGCCGTAGGAGGTGAAGATCAGTCCCAGGCTGCTGATGGGAAGAGGGGTCACCCAGGGACAGGGGCACTGACGCCTGTCATGGCCAGACCTGTGAAACCTGCAGCACTGCTCAGCATTTGCTGAACACCTAGAGTCCCTCAGCCGTGGCTCCAGGGCTGCTCCCTGTGGCAAAACCTGCCCAGCTTTTCCTCCAAAGGATGGAAACTGGTTCCTCTCCATGGAGCCAGTGGGGCCACAGAGACCTGGCCAGTCAAAGCTTTCAGGACGATCTGCATCGTCTCACCTGGCACTGTCTTCAACCGCTGCTTCTCACCACCTCAGCTCACCGGTAGCTTGGTCCAATTGGTGCTGGATTTGAGGAAGATGAGGAACTGGTGGTGCTGGAGGAAGATCAGATACCTTGAGCCATCAGCTGGATGTGCTGGAGGGTAACCAGGTGCTCACCTTCCCATCCAGCACTCAGCCCCAGCGTGGCTGAGAGAGCGCCTTCACAAGCACCCTGTTACAGCAGTGAGCAAGACCAGAGTGGCTTCTCCATGGGAAACGTGGCCAAGAGCCAACCAAGTGACTGAAATTGTCCAGAAATCAGCTGCTGGAAATGTGGCAGGTCACTGAGGTCCAGCAATGAGCACAAAAGACCACTTGCATGCTTGTACACGCTTGTTTGCATGCTACGGGCTCTGGCCTGACTCTGAAACGCTGTGGGAGAGGAGAGCACTTCCTGCACCACCACGGGCTTCTCCCTTCCCAGCAGCCTTAGGTTCATATACCCAGGGAAACCCAGGGCTGACACGGATCTCCAGAAACATCTCCTCATCCAGGACTGTGCTTCTCCATCCCTGAAAGTTGCTCATCAAATCTCTCCATAACAGCCACCAGCAATGGAGACCCCACCACCTCCCCAGGGTTGTGGCTGGCAGGAACTCCTCTTCCCAGCAGCAAACCCAAGGTGGTCTTGGCACCATGCGAGGACCCTCGAGCACCTTGCAGCCTATGCACACCAGGATGGACCTTGGCCTTCTCGTGACAGCGATTCAGTCTGTGCTTGGCTAGTGAGCATAGTCCACATTGTTTTGAGATTAATCACTCTCCAGCTGCTGCTGACATCCTTGAGCCCAACAGAGGAACCTTGTTGTGGTTTTTTTCTCCCTGGTTGTTTCTGGCCAAGCAGTGACTCAGCTGTCAGAGGTGAATAACTCTTCACACTTTATCTGAGCGCTCGTTAACCATCCAGAGCCATAAAAAGCAATTTCTCCAGGGCTTCCTCTCTGCAAGGCTGAGTTTTGAAGCAAGAGGGCTGGCCCAAGATTGGGTGAGAAAATTCATAAAGATGCTCAACAAAAACAGATCTTCAGAGCACAGAAACCTTGTATGGTTCTGGGCCATACGGCAGAGGGTTTTATCAACAGTGGATGAAGGTCTGGGCAGAAAAGAAAGACAGATCCTACCTGCAGCACCTAGTGAAGCCTACAGTCACTGTGTGGAAATCATTAACGACAAAAAGCTTCTAACACAGGCGTTTGCCTGCCTCCTACTCCTGTCCCAGGACCTGCTTGGTTTGCATTTCTTTTTCTTCTTTCTCAGAAATCTCAGCAGCAAGGATTTCTTCACCTTCTTGTGCCGTAGCAATCACCCTAACTGTGATTAAACTGTCAGAAGATTTGGAGAATATTTCCTCTCTCAGGGGTGTGTGAGCCCTGTGGGAGGTGACGGGTGATCTCTGGTGCACTGGTGATTTCGGTGGGATTGGGCTGAAGCTGGAATCCTGTGATCCAAAAACAAAAAAAAAAAAAAAAAAGAAAAAAAAAGGGCAAAATCAACCTTAGGTCACTGTAGACCTCATAATTGGGATGACAGCTTGCTGCCAAAGGTGACTCTGTGAGCAGGGCAGCTGGGTTATACACTGCACATCTCAAAAGAAGCACATTGAGATGAGTGTAATGCTCACACATCCTGCAGCGGCTCTTGTTTAGCTCCTGAAGCATCTGGAGTTGTTGACCTTGGCAAAAAGCTTGTCAGAAGTGTTGTGAGGGAACGGCCCGGTACTACCCAGTACTAAAGTCTCCTTTAGAGAGGAGCCTCAGAAACCTCACCCGGGGCCATGCCATGGAGAGGGTGTCCTTCAATAGAAGGGGGTCCTCTAATCCCATTAGTGGGGTTAGCTTCTAATATGTGCACCCGCTAATGATGGGCCTTGTTACCACTACTGTGCAGAGCAGGCAGTGCCACTGTTCGTCGCTGCCTTTAACTGGTTATTAATTAGCATTAAGCCTCATCGTGCTGTTGTGAAGGACTACAGAGACTCAGTTCTGCTCAGCATCTTCCTGGGTGTTTACGCAGCCTCAAGGCCACCATGCGCTCCCTATCAGCTGCTCTTTCACCTCTCTTTCCACGTTCAGATGTGATAATCTGCATAACTCCACACTGGGAAGGGCAACAACACAGTCTGTGTGGTGATACGACCTTTTTTAATGAGTTTAGCAGAGACACTTGGAAGGAAAACAAAAACAACTAAAAAGAAGGGCCATTTTCTATTTCAGTCTCTCATAACAAAAAAGCCAGGATGATTTCACTGCGGATCATGCAGAGCTGGCAGGATGGTGGAGGCCTCAACCCCAACCATGCCAGGAAAGCTTTGCAAATATTGACTGGGCTGGGGATGCTGGGTGCCAGCATCACCCCCGTCCCGCCAGCACATAGATTAATTACGAGTGGAGCTCTCTCTGCAGCATGGAAGAGATGTTCATCTCTGGCTTCAATCCAGCTAGAAATTAGACTTACAGCTGGGCAAAAAGTCACAGTATTGCCCTTTTGTGCTGCAAAGCAAACCACCCCTTCCCATCTTCCCATGCTATGTCAGATCCCAATGACCTGAGCTTGCTCCTTTAAGGCACCTTAATGACAGTCTCTGAAGCTGGTCAGTGACTAACAAAGCATCTAACAAAGCCAAATTGCCACCCTCCCCATGCTCACCTGTGCCGCCTGCATTGCCTTCAGCTTCCTCAGCCTCCACCGCAGCTGGGCCAGGGACGCTTTGCCCCCCGTCCTTCCCACAGCGGCCAGGGCAGCCTGGAAGAGCTTCGGGGTCTCAGGTTTTGGCAGAATGATCAGCGAGTGTCCAGGGGCTCCTTTCTCATCTTTGGGTTTATTGTTGTTTTTCAGCATTTTTCTACAGCAACGAAAAGAAGAGATAACTTCAGTCCAGGGACATGTGATGTTCACTGGATTTTATAATGTAGAAAATTCAGACTTTAAAAGGACCTTTTTTTATGCCTTAGAAAGGACAGAGTAACAAATCTAAGTAATGCTAAAGTGAATAATTTAATAGATTTTTAAATGAACACACTTGGGCCACATTTGTCCCCAGGTTGCCCCCACTTTTAGCAGTGAAGGGCTGGGCTGGCACTGGGCACCTCCAGCCTCCCTGGATGGCAGCGAGGGACAGGTCACCTCTACCAAAATGTGGTAACCCCAGCCCAACTGCCCTCAGGGGCCCTGTGCCTCATGCCTGGTTCCTGCAGCAGGAGCTTCCCTGGAACTTCGTGCAGACAGAAATTTCCCTTGTGATCCACAAACCCAGACTTGGCTTTTTTTCATGCCCCACAGGCGAGAAAGCAGCATCCCACCACGCACTTGGCCTTCTTACGCAGCAGCTTCTGAGACTCCGGATAATGCACCAAAATCTCGTTCAAGTCCTTCTTATCCAAGATGAAGAGGTTAGCGAAGCCGTGAGCCACGACATTCGCTGTTCGGCGATTTCCCCCTCCTGCCGCCAGCAAGCTGAGGAGACATGGAGAGATGTCCATGCTGTTATTCATAGGCTCAGCATGAAATCTCCATTTTCACATCTCCACCTCTCTCTTTCAGAGGACCTAGAGTTCAATTTTCACCCTGATGAAATTTTCCAAGCCCAGTTTTTAAAGAATGATGGGATATGTTGGCACAGAGCGCTATATAGAAAAGTATTTGCCTGTTTAAAAAGTCAGATACTGCATTTTACACCCATTTAGCATCTCCTGGGCTGTAGGGAGGCAAACTCTGTCACTGCATTACAAATTGGTACAGGACTTTCCCATGAAATGGGCAGATTAATGGCTGGGAGGGTGTTTTAGTGAGACATCTTATTCATTTTCTCATCCATCCATATACCTCTGCTTACTATCACTAGCTCCTCAGGCAGAAAACAGCACGATGACAAAAACAGTGAAAAAGCTCCCAGAAAAAAGCTGTAATCTGTGTATCAGACACTGCTCAGTGCTCATGGTTCTGAATCACAAGGATTAATTAGGGTGTTGCTGATGTCAACCTCTCACCCTCCTCACCCGGAGCCCATGAGCTGTATTTCCCTGGCAATGCCGCACTCACCTAATTTCTCCAAACACGGATCCAGCTTTCAGGGTCACCAGCACAGTTTTGCCATCGGGTCCTCCCAGCACCTGCACTTGTCCTGCCTGGATGATGTACATCTCCCGGCCGATTTCTCCCTGCAATGAAGATGGGTGCTGTGTGGGGTGCCCAGAAACAGGGAGACTTTGTGGATGCCCCAACCTGCATCTTGCTAGAAACCCCCATGGCCATATTGCACTCGCCAAACTCTCAAAACACTTTGTCCCGGTGGTGCTCACTCCTGAGCACCCTCATCCAAGCTCCTAAAGTCTTCTCCAGCTCGGCAAGCTCTTCCTTGCTCTCCTGCTGTTCATGGCTGCAGCAGAAGAGGTCAGTCTTTGCCCAAAACCAGCTGCAACCGAGGATGGTTTTGCTCTGAATTCCCTCGCTGTGAAGCAGCTGAATGCCACGGTGATGGGCCAGGCCTAGCTTTTCCTGCTCTAAAAAAATTCTTACACACGTAGTCATTAGGCAGGTAGACCACCGATCTGAGCCGCTTCAGCATGTCAAAGATCATCTGCCTGTCACAGCCCTGAGCCAAAACAAAGCCAACACCATTAGGATGGACTGGCATGGCAGACTCCACCGGCCAGGACCTGCACTGCAGAGGGTACCTGGAAAAGGGCCACTTTGCTGACAATTCTGTAGTTCACGTCGATGGCAATGTCCAACCTCATCTTGTCCGGCAGCTGCACCAGCAGCTCTGACTCATCTGTGAGACAAAGCAGAAAAAGGGCCGTTTCCAGCACTTGATCGGAGAGGGTGTCCTTGGCATGGCAGTGGGAAAGCAGCTTGCGTTCTGGTGGCACAGGGCAGGAGCCAGCTTGTCCAGAAGGGTCTCCTCCAGCCTCTGCTCACCCAGCAACCTGCAGGTCTAAACCCAATGCGTGACAGAGAGCCGCCCTTGGTGTTATCTCTGCCCTGACGGCTCTCAGAGACAGAGCGGTGAGCCCAAGCCAGCACCTTTCCTGGCCAGGAGAGTGGGTGCAGGGGTCCTGCTCAATGGTTAGGATAGGGTGAGCCTGTGGGTTTGCTATTGGACATGTTTTGGCCAGAGATTGGCAGTTCCTGCACCCCAGGGACCAGCAGGTGGGATGTTGGACTCAGGGCACTATGCTGGATCACTATGGTGCTGCCTATATACTCTATAGATGGGCAAAAAAGCCCATATAGCAAAGAATAAAATAAGCTACCCCTTGCCCCGAAACTGTAATGCTTTTTGACAGTAACATTTCAGCTCTGCAAAGGAACCACAGTAAAACACATGCAGTGCATGTGTTGACCCTTGGAGTGGTGGGATCTCACCTAGCATGCCTTGTGAATGCCACGTGTACTCGTACCACATTTTCACCCGGTTCTGAACGGTTTTGGGGATTTTGTAGAAGTTCATGTATTTAATGGTACTGTCCATGCAGCTCCGATAGTAAGTTTGCCCGGCGGTAGCGGCACCGACCACATCTCTCATCTGAATGGACGGAAGAGATGTTTTAGTTGCTGTCACTTATCCATCATGCAGGTTAAGCAGCTTAAAGCATGTATGCTGAGTCCTAACAGCATCTACCAAATCCTTTTTGTCTTCTGCTAACGCTGAGCGGGTCCTTAAATGTGGGAAACAAACCTGGAGATATAAATGTGTGGACCAACCCCACCAAAATGTTCCCTACCTGAGGCTGGGAACCCTCACGACTCCTGCTCACCTGGCCTATCATGACGGAGAAAGCAAAGACGCCTGTGAAGTAGTTCAGCAGCTGGAAGATGATCTCGAACAGCGTCTTGGGGTCCGGCAGGCCCCCGATAGTGATGAGGGTTTTGACTGCCCAGTAGTAGCAGCGGATGTAGCTGGGAGGAAAAGAGGCAGCTTTGGAGGTGTTTCTGGACCGAAGGCTGGTTTCACCCCTCAGCACCAAGCTCACATCCTCTGGCCAAGGCAAGCCAGAGCCTGCTGAAAGTAATTATGGGTGACAAAGGAAAAATTAAGGGGCTGCAGACTCCCCACAACATCTGCAGGTGCTTCTGGAGATGCTACAGGAGCAGGGTGACATAGGGACCCTCCAGAAAGCTCTGCATGGGAGGCTCAGCTGCTTTGGCTACTCCCATTTTCTGCTTCTTTCAGCCACACTACTATAAACCAGCAATGCATTTTCAACAACATTTATACTTTGAGAAATAGTCAGGGGACAAAAAAGGGTTTGTGAGCAAATTGTTGGCATGGGACTCTGGAGATGTCAAGTCAATTCTGGATTCACTGGTCCTGGGCACTCCCTTGGATGTTATAGTTACAGCTACAGATAGATACAGGTATGTATATCACAGAAAATAACTGTATAGCAGCAACATTAACATGGGAAGCTGAGTGCTCAAAGGGAACACAACAACCGCACTAAAGCTGCCTAGGTGACAGCCACTTGTCCCCTTTACAGCCACACCTCACAGCAAGTCTTTAATGCTCTTTCACTATGCCTTTTTTTTCCAGGAAACTCTCATTTACTGCATGGTAATAAATTATTGAAACATTACTCAGTGTTTTGTCTTGTCGGTGTTGTACAACCTACAGGTGTGGGCATTGGCTGTGAGGCAGCGTTCGGCTCGTGAGTCGAGTGCTCCCCCTGGGGCATCCACCAGCCACAGAGCAACCAACATTAATGTGTGCCTTGGAAATGCCACAGTGAGGGGACAGGGTGGCCACTGTCCCCATCTCACATACTGGGGATGAGGGCACTGGGCTGGTCTGAGGGGCCTGACACACCGCAACCAGAACAGCTTTAACAGCCTCAAGCCTCCAGCCTTACCTGGCAGGGGGTCAACAGACAGAAACGGGGCTTGCACCCAAACCTTTGCATCAGCAAGGGCATTCTTATGAGAAAATAATTTTCATGAGCCCAGCTGCATCCTAACAGCTCCCTTCTTGCTCCAGCTCATCAGAACAAGCTGTGCTGTGTGAGGACCCCAGCCCTGGCTTGTACCTGTTTCCTTCCCCATCGTAGACCCAGGTGGTAGAGCCCAGTCCTTCGTAGGCTGATGCCCAGTAGTAGAGGCAGGAATTCACGTGCAGGCTGTACAGTAAATAGGCAGTGGTCCGAATCACTCTGCAAAAGAAAGGAGAGAGCAGGAGAGGAGGTGATGCGGTGTTTGTTGAGAGCAACACATCAGATCTCCCCCCAGCATCACAGGGAGTTTTGAAACAATGAACCGAGTGCTGACCATGCGAGTCCTGCCAATGCAGGAATCACTGAACCCCTGGATGTGCAGCCCCACTGCTCCCTTCCACAGCCCTGCAGCTCCAGAAGTGCCAGAAAAAGCAGATTATCCGCAGGCAGCTACTCTTCATTGCCAGGACTCCCATCCCCACTGGGTCAGGGAGAGGTGATCCTACCCACACAGGCTCCAGGACCCCTGTGTCTCATCTGCATCAGTCAAGGCCCACATCAGCTGGTCTGGGAACAGTGGGAAAATAAATTGGAAACCCAGAATGGGTGCACACCAAAGTAGACCTTCTTCACCAGCAGCAAACAGCAGCTCCACACTCACTCACCTGTAGATGTATGCCTTGCTCAGGATAGCCTCCAGGCGGTTGTTGAACTCAAAGAAGGCCATGTACTGGGAGGAGAAGGAAAGCAAAGTGCTCCAGTTTCCTGCAACACTCACTGGGAGAGTTACGTCCCCATAAAACCCCACTCCCCTCCATTTCCCTCCTGTAGCCCCTCTGGCTCCATCTATAAATGCCCCTCAAATGTGAGGGTGTTTTAGGACTGAAATGAAGCATTGGACCAACAGCCTTGCAAAGTCTCCAGGACAAGACCTCCTGTCCATTTTACAAATCCTCTCGTTACCATTGATGAGTCTAGCAAGCCACAGCTTAGCCCAACCAGCACGAGACTCCTTCATGTCCACTGCAACCGGTGCTCGGCCCAATTTTGTAAGCTTCAACTCACCTTCAGACAGCGAGGAAAGCGCAGGAGAGGGTTCACACCAACTTTGAAGTAGAAGAAATCCAGGGGCAGGAGGCAAACCACATCCATCTGAAAGCCACGCAAAGAGAGAAACCTCTGTGGGACCTGCAGGCATGGTGGGGTGGAGCTGCATGCCAGGGTTCAGGTTAAAGATCCAGATTGATAAATAAAATCACATCAAACCTTAAAGCGTTGCGATCGCAGGTAGTTCTCTTTCATGGCCTTTTTATCAGTCTGGTTGGGAACAGGAGGGAGAGAGAGAGAGAGAAGACAACTGATCATTGCTTACAGAAAGGAAAGTCACGGACAACACAGTCATGCCTGGCTTTCCTTTTCCACACCACAACAGGGCAGATGCTCCTTTCGTGCCTGGGAAGGCAAGCAGAGCAAGAGGAGCAGAAGATGACCTGGCTCTATGCCATCTTCCCATCCTATCTCAGGACATCCCATGCTCATTTTGCATCCCAGAGAAAGCACATCACAGTGCCAGCACCACAAAAACCAGAATTTACAGGAGAAAACTCCTTGTCTGAGCATTTGCATGGGCTATGGGAAAGCTGTACCCTCAAGGTTTTATTTTTCGCAGCTTATTTAATTGGATATGTAAATGAAATCAAGGGCTTTCACTTATCTGAAGCGTGTAATCTATGCATTCAGATTGCAATCGCTTTTGTCATATCATTAATGCACTCTGTGCTCCTGAAAATTAAACCCACAGTTTATTATGATGTCTGCTCTCGATTAACAGTGTACAGCTGTGCCAGGGCTGGTCGGAGTGCACCTCACTGCACAGTGGGCAGAACTGCCCTAAGGAGCAGCACCCTCTGAACGTGCCTACCCAGGAACAGGGCCGCCATGGACCACACGCTTTCTAGATGGGCTGGTACTGACTTTAGGGGAAAAATAGTGTGTTTGGCAGACAAATAAACTGCCAGCTTATCCACTACATGGCAGGAGAGATTCCTGAATTCCTCCAAGAGTGGACACAGCCATGGTAAGAGAGCTTGGAGACCTCAATTCAGAGATCAGAGAGAGACAGGAGTGATGGGTATGGAAGGTCCCTACAGCTGGTCCCCAGTGTTGGGATGCAGTGCACTGCCACTCACTATTATGTCTCCTCCCTGGACGAACTGCAGCCGGGTCTGAAAGACAAGGATGTCCAGCAGGTAGATGAAGTCACAGAGGTAGTCCATGAGCAGCCAGCAGTGGATGTTTGCTGGCGTCTGGTAGGGAAAAGCCCAGCGGACGGGGATCAACCAGCAGTTCCAGTTCCAGGCCATGACAACGAAGAAGAGCCACAGCACGTACATCAGATCTGCACACGGGGAACCGCACCATGATCAGCTGGGCACACGTGGCTTGTCTGCGGGAATCTGCTATGCAAAGGGGTTTTCATCCCCTGACTGACCCTTTCCCAACAGGATCTCCTATCGACAGCAGTTAATTGCAAGAGAGCTGGGCTTGAGATGCAAAGTGAATACCACCGGTTGTGGAGCACGTTGCTTTTTATCAGAAAGCCTCTTCTATCTTTGCCGGTTTTATTATGTTTGCTTTTGCTTTGCTCCCACAATACCAAATTTCTTGCTTGGCTTTTTTCCCCAGAGGCCATGCTGAGTCTGTGGCCACTGCCAAAGCCCGGGGCTTCACAGTGGCTGGGGAACAGCAAAGACTGAGGAAAGATCTGGCTTCCTGTGGGGTGTCTGCGGGACAGTGGCTTTTTATTTCATGGTTTTTATTTCTATTTGGGGTATCCACACCATAGGGACTGTGTTTGCCCGCTAAGAAGCCTAAAAAGCAGAAGGCAGCTGCCTCCTCCATGCCTGATCATGCTCCTGAAACACACACACATTCCTGACAGCCATCAGGAGGCATTTAGGAAAGCCTGTGCCTTGCAGGGGAATTTAAAACTCTATTTTTCAGTAGATGGGTGTAAGCTTAATTGCTCCTTGCTTAGCTGTCCTCTCTTCTCTACAAGGTCTCATGTTTTACACCTCCTCCCCTCCTCAAGCCCTCTCCCCCAGCCCCAGTCAGTTTTGCCCCCAGCCTGGGTGCTTGGCCAGGCTCCATCACTCACTGGTGAGTGGGTCGATGCTGCTGGGGAACTGGTAGTTTTTCAGGTGGTCCAGCCAAGGCCGGTACTTGAAGGTGCAGCACAGCATCTCACAGTAGTGCTCATCCACCTCCGGTTTGTCCCCCTCTGGCTCCCCTCCTGACGGAGGCACTGGTGCTGCTGCAGGCGCCAGCTTGGCAGGGGCTGCGAGAGGTCACACCATTATTTTAAAGGGCAGAAAACATCCTCATTGCAATGTGTTTTAAGGCCTTTAAATTGTTAATAAAGCAGTTGTTTCCCTGAAAACACAGCATGTGTAGAGACCCATCAGTTAAATGCTCTGAGGCCAACTCATACTTACACGGTGTGGGGCTCTCATCGTCTGAGGAGATATCTGGGTCCATCAGCTGCTCCTTCACCTTCTTGGTCCTCGCTTTGAAGAGCTTCACCAGCTCCTGGAGCCGGGTGTTGACAAAGCTGCTCTGGCTCGTGGCTGAATCGATGCGCTCAGGCAGGCTGTGAGGAGACCATCGGGCATTTCATGCAGGTGGGACAGCCCACAGGTGGGTTCACGATTAATTTTTTAAGCTACAGGACCTTGAATTAGCATTTACTCATATTTCTTTGGCTATTGTGCACTCAGAATAACACAAGTTAAGGTGGTTTCAGTAAAATACCATTAAGCAGCACCTGCCTGAGCCTCATCCTTGCCCTGGGGTGTGAGATGCCCTCAGAGGGACTCAGGAAGCACTTAGATCCCAAACTGGATTGCGTGTGCTCGGGAGAAGATTTTGGAAGAACTGTGGGGTGAAAACATGCACCAAGCCTCTGAATTTATAAATTGTACAATCTCTTTTCAGCCTTTTTTTTATAACTAGGCTGGATTCAGAGCAGGATTCTTTGCCTAGCATGACTGAGAGGCAGCACTGCGAGGGAGGACAAAGGAAAGCTCTGTGCTGTAGCTCCAGGCTGATTTGTGGTGATAACTGGAACAACCATTTCTGCCCAAGAAGGCGGCAAAACCCTGCACCATATGGAGGTGTAGACCCTCCTCAAGACTTTGCCTCCCAGGGAGGGCAGCTCCCCCCAGAGATTCCCAGGATCTCTTGCTATTCCCACCCAAACCCTGGCATCCAAAGCCCTGGGAGCTTGGCTGATCCCAGCCCTGGGTCCCGCCACGCACCTTTCCCTCTGCTCCTCATCCCAGCCTAGCAGCGTGTGGATGGGTGACTGGTTCACCAGTGCCTCGTCCAGACCATCCGATGGGGTCAGCAACTTCCTCCTGCGGACATAGACACAGCGACTAAGGCTCAGCTTGTTCCCATCCCCAGACACCTCCTCTCCCTCCTCCTCCCAGCTCTCATCTGTTTTCAACTTTCCCTTCTCCTGTCAAGGTCAGTTTTCTCCTAATTTTTGGCACTGCCTAAAGTCAAAGGGAGCAAGCCACCCTGCTCCTTTGCTTCTGAAGTCCTGTTCCCTCCTGGGCACCACCAAGCTCATGGCCTACCTGCCCAGACAGCATTGCCCAGTGTATACTGGTATTTATCACCTGAAGATCTTGTTTCCAGGCACCAGGTAGACAACGTGTGGCTCATTTGTGGCAAGTCTTTCATGATTCTGTCTAAACAACATTAACCCTAATCCTTCACAGCCCCATGTGGGAAATAAACTCAAGACTGTAGCCAATAGAGGTGACTTAGGATAAATGGATGATTGTTCAATGCAGAGCTGATGTCCTATTCCTCTGCCAAGCACTCTCCTTCTGGTTCAGAAGGATGATATTTTGTTTCTCTGTGTAGAAAAACTAGAGCTGCTTGCTTTTTAAAATCTCCAGCTCTAACAAGGGACCTCCAGTTGTTGCCTTGAGAGACGCTACCTGGAGGCACAGCATAAAGGTTCATATGTTCATACCTGTAACTGCAAATATACAACCTGCTTTAAGAAACTGGTAGAAAATAGCATGAGAAAACTGAGGTTTAACACCTTGGTTTTTATTTTTAGTCCTCTACAAGAATGAGCCTCAAAAAAATCCAAACCCCAAAACCAGCCAAAAACCCATCAGCTTTCTCCAGTGTCAATTTTAAAGCTCACTTTTAGTCCTCCTCCTCCCTGAGCATCCTTGATCCAAAGGCACAAAGCCAGAAGGAGATGCTGCAAACCCTTCCAGCAAGCACACAAGAAGAAAACTGTTGGGTTTTATGATGAAGTCTCTCATGCTTCAAATTTGGGAGCACAGATGTGCGTGTCAACAGACAAATGAGATCTGACCACGGCCTGGGGACTGAGCCCACCTCCAGGACAACACACAGACAGGACTGTCCCTGGCCCCCAGAAGCTTTAAACAAAATCTAACCATTTAATTAAAACTCAAATGAGAGGCAAGGCTTTTGCCATCTGCCCTGCCTTACATGGGGGTGACACCCACTGCACACACATCACCCTGGCTTCCTGTCCAAACCTGCCAGAAGTAGGATGCTCCATATGGTTTAACAGATTTTCCTGTACTGGCACCATTGAGGGAGCCGAGACCCCCGGGAGCCAGGGACCACACCTGGGACTGTACCTGGGGGACACCAGTGCAATGCTGGGCACCATCAGCATGTTGGAGCCAGCAGAGAGGACCGGCAGGTGGGTACCATCCATCTCCACAGCATCGCCTCTGCTGTCCGCTGCCTTGATGTCCACGGTGGGATAATTGCCTGGCCCGTGGAGAAGGACAATAACTGGATGTGAGAGGGAGTGGATCCCAAGCCCCATCACCTCCAAACCTCACAGCATGACAGAAGGACTCTCCTTTTTCCTCAATTCCCTTCCTGCCTGGCTCACCTTCCTCCTAACAGTTTGGGTCATTTCCTTATCTTTTTTTGCCCAGATTTTAGCACTATAAGAATTGCCACCTGCTTCCCTTCTGCTTTCCCAGCCTGCAGTAATTGCAACTACTCCATGCAAGCATTGGGTCTCTGTGGTTTGGTAAATGACAGAGATGAGGATTACCAGCTGCAGGTGTCATGTGGGAACCCAGGATTTCCAGCTGCAAACCTGCCTCTCTGGTCTAGAAAATTTCCTTGGTCTTCTGTACATAAACATATGGATCACAAAAGCTCCAAATCACACAAGCATTTGCTTCTCATGCAGAATAAGGCATTATTTAAATAAGCACTTATGACCTCTCTCTTTTTCAGAGGTAATAACTGCTCCCTGCCATAAGCAAGGTTGGAAGCAGGAAGGTTGGATGTTTCTAGTGGGTAAAGAGATGTCAAAGGCCCAAGGGAGAAATGGCACTGGGGCACTGAAGTGTCACCCCTTTTCTTAGCGATATGACAAAATGCAATGAGTTCCTGCAGGATTTCTTCTAAGGGTTAGGTTTTCACACATCTGAAAGACCCCATGCACCCCTCCTGTCCCACACTGTTGTGGGACTGCTGGATCAGAGCATGGCTTCATCAAATTACTGAGAAAAAGGCCTGTTTGGGTTGCAAAGTTAAAATCCCATTGCATGGAAGGAAAAGCAGCAGAATTTGGCTCTCTTTTTAAAAACAAAGCAAAGCAAAGCTATAGAAACAGAATTTGGACTTCTGGGTTAAAAAGCAGAAAACCATGAACAGCAAACCTCCATTTTACTGTCCTCTTGGTGCAAGTGAACTGCATGAATGCTAAGGAGAAAACTGCATGGACAACTGATACTTAACCCTATGCCTGCAAGTCCTTCAGGAGAGTTTTTGGTCAAGCAGGTCAAAACATAAAGCATTTTATGGATATTTGCAAATGTTCTCCAGGGGTTATCTAGAAAGGCACATAGTGACAAGGCAGAAGCAGACAAAACATGAATTTTGTTCCCCAGCCTCTGTGCTGCAACATGAAGCATGCTTTTATTTATTATTTTTCACCCCAAAAGCAACAAAAAGCAACTACCCCAGGAATAACCCCTTGCTGCCCCTCAAGCTACACAAGCCCATCGTCAAAGCTGACGTCTCTAATACCTAGGGGATATTGCTCCTCATTGCAAAAATTGGGGTTGACAACTCCCGCCTTTGGCTCACTGGCAACAAGGCCGGGGAGGTGGGAGGCAGCGGCGTTTCGGTAGCTGGGGACATTGGGGAGCTGCTCTAGCGCGGTGCAGCCAGGAGGGGAGGTGTCCCCGCCATCGAACGGCTTGTCGTGCACCAGCTGATCTAGCTCGACGTCTCGGGCACGCTTGGACATGCTGCTAGGCGCCTAGGTGCTTCAAGCAAAGGGCAAGGCATCTGAAGCTGCAACAAAACAGAGTGGTTTGAGACGCAGAGAAGTGCAGGGCTGCTGGAGTTGTTGATGCTGCCTGGCGCTCACAGGTGTTGGTAGCACAGGACAGCAGTGGTGAGCAACCTATCACGCGTTTCTCTAGCATTGGAGTGCTCTGCAAGGGCTGCATGAGCAGAGGAACAACCCCAGCCTGGCCCAGGGCTCAGGTCGAGCCATCCCTCATGCAACTCAGTGAAGCTACACCAGGGCTTGCCTATGCTCACTCAGGCTGTGATGGGAGCTCACCATCTGTTGCATTACCAACCTATTAACTCCCAAAAGGCTATATTAAAATTATTGTTTCCCGAATTGAGCAAAGTGGTAGGGAAAATCCTTTTTATCCTCTGTTAGGTTCTTCAGCTGGAGGAGAAACTCTTATTTCACATCAGAGGTTGCTTAATCAACAAGACTAAATACTGCATAAGCACCAGCCTGGCAGAGCTTGCTCCAGCTGATGCCAATATTCCCATCACACTGTTCCCAGGGGATGTCTCCAGCTAGGGAAAAGCCCCAGCTGCCCACGCTGCAGAAAGCACAGCTGCCTGCTCCCAGACAGTGAGCATTGCATCGCCTGCTTCGGTTCACCCTACTTCAACATTACACTGCTATGTGTTATACCTTCGGCATCAGTTTCAGCAGCTTCAGCTGTCTCCTCTTCCACCTTCAAAATGAAAAAAGCCATTTTAAGGAGAAAAAGAGCTGCTTCGTCAATAAAAGGGCAGACTTCACAGCTGGATTGGGTGCCTTATAACCCTTAACCGTTTGCCAGCCTCTCAGCTTGTTCAGTGCCAGCATTTTAGGGATAGAGCATCCTTCCCTTGGCACTGAGCTACTGCTGCTGTCTCAGGCTCAGAGATGGGGACACCTTAGTGGGCAACATTCCCAGTGCCCATCCCAGTCCCTGCTCCTCGTTGGGACACTATGCTCCCCCCGGACAAGCTCTTGAGCCCCCAATGTGCGCTGGGCACCAAGATCTTATTGCAGACCTAAACCCAAGCAGGGAGCGACACTGTACCTGTACAAAAGCACCTTCGAGGTCACTTATCTCAGCTTCTTCCAGTTGCTCAAACCTGAAGGCCTCCTCTGCGAAGTGGACTTCATCCACATCCTCGTCAGTGGTGAGACAAGGCGATGGGAGCAAGGGTCTGTGGGGTAGAGATCAAGCAGAGACAAGTGCCTGAGCTCACTTCTGCCCTGTCAGAGGTTGGGGGCCATCATATCAGTGGGGGCATCATGTCAATAGGGACAACACATGGCTTTCCCGGTTTCCGGGAGTGCTGCTCCTCAAGCCCCATTTGCAGGCAAGCAATATTTAGATATTGTAGTTCAATACAGTAGCAGTACCAAAAATAATTGCTGCTTGGGTTAGAAGAGACTTGGAAAAAATATTAGATGGGAGATCAGGTGAGAAGTGCATAAATAATACAGGGCATTGCACATGCATAAGCAAGAATTGCATAGGCAAAAAGATACAGGCAGTGTGTTTCTCATGCTGTGCATAATAATTTCTCATATAATTAAAAGTCACCAAATAAAAACCTGAGAGTCTAATTCCCAGGCAGGGCTGCCCAACAACCATCATTCAAACCCCGCTTTTGCCTGTACAACGCATCAACAGGACACACAACTCTCATTTTCCTTCAGCAGCAAGCACAGACAGCAGCCCTGCCATTCTGAGAAAGGGGGCTCACAAGATCGATTTTAGTGGTTTAATATAACTTTATAACTGAAAAAAAGCCTCATCATGCTGTTCTGTGCACTTATCTCCTGATTTGCTTTTTCCTGGTGAGGGACACAAAGCAGGGATAGGGAAAAGAATTTTAGGACTGCTAAACGCATGAAAATTGAAAAAACAACTTTCTGCATTCTTGGCAGGTCCTAACACCGAAGACGTATGCAATAAGCAGTGGCTGTTTTTTATCTTTTATCTCCATATCTTGAAAACCTATTTTTATCCAAGGCTTTTCTAAAATTATTTTTTAATAATCCCTCCCTCTTATTTTTTTTGCAATTAGTCTTCTTTCAAATGCAGTCTCAAGTCTTTTCATCCTAGTCTGGAAAACCTGTTGCTGTCTCTTTCTCATAAACAGTCAAACACAGGGAAGGATGGAGCAGCATCTCATTCACCCACCAACTGAAGCTCAAATTTCTGTAGTGGAGCTTCAGGAACAGATTTTGATGAAATAAAAAGATAGGCTTAACACTGAATATTCACAATTTTTCAGCTTCCTCCTGAAAATCTCGCTACTTCAGAGAAGTTAACAGAGAATACTGTAGCACTAGGTAATAAAACCCTAGATGTTTATCTCATGTAAAATCAGAGCAAACCAATAAAGTAAGCTGAAAGATTTTTCAAAAAACCATCTAGACCAAAGTCACCACCTACAACAGCTGACAATAACTTGGTTATTTTCTACAACTGGAAAAAAATACGTAAAATTGTACCTACTTGTGTTAAGTAGCATTTGCAGGTACAACATGTAATCCTGTCTTTAAATGCATCTCTGTAATGCTCATAATAATCCCGACTTCTTTGAATTAATGATTATGGTTTTAAATAACGTGAACCATCCCCAGGAGCTGGGAGAAGGCAATGGGGCTCCTGCTCGGCCGAGTGGATCCCGCGAGAGGGATTGGCCGGGGGATGCGGTTGCTACGGGCGGCGGTGATGGAGATGCAGCCCGTGTCGCCAAGAGACGCTCGCCTGTCACCGGGGACCGCGTCAGCAGCGAGCCCTGGGGTGAGTTGGTTTGCGAAAACATCCCTCCCTAGTGCATCTCTCCTGAACGCACCCCTCCCCAGCGATGCACCCTCCCTCAGTGATGAATCCGTCCCCAGCGCATCCCAGCCACCCACCAGGCTGAGGAGCTTCACTCTTCCACGGCTTGTTTCAGCCTCTCTTGTGAATGCAGTTGAAACAACAACTGCGTTCACACTCATTTCTAACAAAGCCATAGAGGAAACAGGAGCTACTCACCCTGCATTCTTCTCCTCCTTCTCCTTTTTCTCCTCCTCCTTCCCCTTCTTCGCCTCCTCCTCCTTCCCCTTCTTCGCCTCCTCCTCCTTCTCCTCCTTCT